CCCCAAAACCCCAAAACCCCAAAACCCCTTAAAATAAATAATGCTATCATTTGAATTAGAGATTTATAATATTTTGGAAAATATGAATTTTAACGTCCCCATCATTAATTCCTCCTTTTTCATCCCAGCTGCAAGTAACCATAATTACTCTAAAGAGTCTAAATCCACTAGGCAATCTCAGGCGCCTTTGGTAAAAAAGAATGTCAATGAAAATAGACCAACAATTTAGGATTCAGCAACTAAAAAGCCATTTTTATAAGCAAGTTCATCGAAAATGAGATAACTGCAATAATAATCAACCCCAAGGAAAAGCTTGTCAAATATTAGCAGCAGATTAAGAGAGGAAACAATCTCCTCATCTATTAAAAAATTCACAAAATCAGTTAAATTTACAAATGAAGAAAAAGCAATAATGGTTACTGTGACTAAAAAACCATCTGGCTCATCACCTAGATTTGGAAGCAATTAATAAAATACGCAATTTCAGTCATCCTTTTCTGGGGCTGCAACTAGGAATAATCTTGCCAAGGAGAATTAACAAAATTCCAATTTTCTTATGCCTATTCCAAAGTAGCTATAAGATTTAAGAAGGAATGTACTTAATGATACTTCTTTCAATGTGATAAACTAAGAACCTCAAAGTTAAATTGAGTTATTCAAAAGCTCTAATTTTAGTTTGATTGAGTTAATGAAGAAATCCTAACCAACTTAACCCAAGACCATTAATCCAGCTAGCAATAATCTTTTTAATCAAATGCTTGCAGATTACAAACTCAATAATTCCTCTTAAATTTCAACTCCAAGATTAACTCCTCTAAAGATGCTTGAAAGAAATAGGTCTAATGTGGTAAGTAAAGATGACATTAATAAATTAGAAGATAAGATTAAGGACCTTGAGGACTAAATTTTTAATGCGAAGAAAAAAGGGGAGGAAACCAAAAAGCTTGACATCCTCGAGTAGAATTTAAAGAAAACTGACCTTAGTTTTATTGAGGAAAGTTCAAGAGTCAATAAAAGGCATCAAAGCAAATATGAAAATGAGATCATTAATTACGCTTCATCAGAAGAAGATTTATTAGATGAGGATAGATTGTTGTTAATCTAGCAGACTCCTCATGTACTGCATAATTTTTCAGAGCAAATTGAGGAGGATGAACAAGAGGAAGATCCGACTAATCAGGAAAAAGAAATGAGTATTAGTTATAGTCGAGGTAGGAGATCCCTAGATAATCAGGCAAGCACTAGAATGAGTTTATCCAGATATGATCGAAGAAATGAGAGCATTTAAAGTGATGTTGAACAGATTACTTTGATAAAAAAAGTAAAGGATAATTAGCTAGATAACGAGGAGTTTGACTGCTCATAATTTGACCTACAGTAATCCTTTAATTAGGTATTCGGTATCATAAAGCAATTTAAAATAGATCCTGTTCATAAATAATAACTTAGAGCCTTATAAATCCATATTTAAGAGTAGATTAACTTCTACTCTGAGGAAAATAATCAAAATAAAAGAAGGTTTAAAAAGTCTTGTAGAAAACCAGAAAGAAATTTAGTGCTAACTGAAAATAATATGCTAGCAAAATTAGGATTAAATGAAAACACTAGTGCCAGAAGCAGTATTAATCCTTTTGATCATTAAAGTGTTAAAAATCAAAGTTTATCTAGGACTAGGACCAAGTCAGATAGAGATATAATGATTCAAATGGTGACTCGTTCATAGAAGAAGAGAAAGAGAAGAAATACTGCTGTCTAAGAGTAATGTATTGCCGAAGAAAATCCAAATAAAAGAAGAAAGATTTGACTAAATTAATTAGATTTGAATATATATCTTAATTAAATTATTACTATTTGTTATATTCAGACTAATTCTATAATCAGCACTTTTGACAATTTTCACGATTACCATTATTTTGTCTTTGTGCACCAGATGCTCTTCCAAGTTTCTGAGCTCTTTCCCTTAACTTCTCCTAGACAATATAGTCGTCTGTTTTCTTTTGCATTAGCTCTTGTCTTTTCAAAGCGATTTCAGCTAATTTACAAAATGCTTTTTCTACATTAAGATTATTCAGTGCTGACGCTTCTATATATGTCATTTCTCCATTTTCCTTGCAAAATTTCTACAGAGCGTACTCTGATACTTATCTATTATCCTCTGCTATATCAAGTTTATTTCCTACTATCATAAATGGGAATGTTTCTGGATTAACAATCATTCCTTTCTGAATAAAAGAGGACTTCCATTAAGAGAGATTTTCAAAGGTACTTTGGCTTGTAATGTCATACACTAGCAAGCAGCAATCTGCTCCTCTGTAAAATGCAGTTCCTAGACTTTGATATCTTTCCTATCCAGCAGTATCCCAGATTTGAAGTGTAACGATCTTTCCTCCGATAGTAACCTCTTTATTGCTAAAGTCAGCTCCTATGGTAGGCTTAAATGATTCTGTGAATCTTGAATGTTCAAACATCTAAATAAGAGAAGTCTTTCCTACGCCTGAGTCTCCGATTGCAACTACTTTAACAAAGCACTTCTTCTCAGGTATGGCTGATGGAGGATGAGGAGTAGTAAAATCTCTATTTACCTAGCCTGAAAAGGAGGCTCTAGTATTACTACTTCTGTAAAGATTTGATGACTCCATTAAAATAGTGTTATAATTATATATTCTAATATTTAATTATTCAGATTTATACGACTTTAAAATCTACTTCAATTATTTTACTTAGAGAATAATAAAGATTATGAGCGAACCATAACCAACTCAGAATTACGAGTTAATCTATGATGGAGAGTGCAACTTTTGCAACTTCTGTATGAATTTCGTCAAAGCAAGACTTGTGGATTCAGATAAGGTGAAAATGACTCCATTCGAAGATATTGTAAGAAATTAAAATAATTTTAAGCCAAAATGATTTAGGATGAGGAGAAAAAGAAATATTTAGAGAGTAAGAATATTCCAACAGATGTCAGCACTGTGGTCTTTATTGACCAGAATCAAGATCAAGCATACATGAAATCAGATGCAATTCTTAACACTCTTCCACTTATGTATTAGCCTTATCACACCTTATACTATCCTCTATCAATTATACCAAGATTCATCAGAGACACTGCCTATGATTTAGTTGCAAAATATAGACATTCAATTATGGGGAAAAGAGAGAGGGCCTAAGGAGAGTATTAGAAGGAAGAATGATTATGGAATTTATTTCTTCTCTTCTTTGATTTTACATATTATCTTCGCTTGGGGTTTTGGGGTTTTGGGGTTTTGGGG